TTTCATTCTACCACTTCTACTAGGAGTTGCCTTTTTAGTGCTAGCTGAACGTAAAGTCATGGCTTTTGTGCAACGTCGAAAGGGTCCTGATGTAGTAGGATTGTTCGGATTGTTACAACCTCTAGCGGATGGTTTCAAATTGATTCTCAAAGAACCTATTTCACCAAGTAGTGCTAATTTCTCCCTTTTTCGAATGGCTCCAGTAGCTACATTTACGTTAAGTCTGGTCGCTCGGGCCGTTGTACCTTTTTCTTATGGTATGGTATTGTCAGATCCGAACATAGGGCTACTTTATTTGTTTGCCATATCTTCGCTAGGTGTTTATGGAATTATTATAGCTGGTTGGTCTAGTAATATAGGGAGCGGCCGTTCGGTCGCCTATGATAGACGGACCAATTGGTCAAATATGGGTTTGTGCCGCAGGTGTTGAACGATCTACTCTACACAGGTGTGGGCTTACAGGGCAGAGGGCTCTCTATGTATTATTCCCTTTCAGTATAGGGATGAGGGAATTGGCTGTAATCCACAAATAGTTGTTTCTATTCGCACCTCAGATCCAGAGGAAAGAAAGGTTGCTTGTCAAGGCTGGGCTGGGGCCTAACTCTTTCTTTTGATAGCTGTCCTTTATAACCGGCTGTTCTTCTTTGTCAACGCTACTACTCTAGGTTCTCGCCTACTTTCCGAATGAAAGAACATGAGACACTTTTTCAATGGAAAAGGCTATACTTAGTTTCGCAAGCCTTTGTCATTGTCAGTCAACTAAGTAAGGGCTTGACTTGAAGGACTTGTTTATAACTCGCCTAGCAACTGTATACTAAGCTTGGCCCCTGCGCTGTGAATCCTTAAATCTTCGAGCATGCCACACTAAATGGATGATACCCTCATACTATAAAGAAAGAATTGGAGTACCTGAAAACCCCATCATGGTGAACCTCTCCTTGTGATCGGGATGAGGTAGATGCCTCCCAGCAGGGGGCGGATCGAATCGGAGTTTCCTTAGGTAGCCACCGACCTACAGTTATCCTTAAACTTCCGTGCTTGGTGGAGAAGAAGCTAACAAAGGTACGCTCGCTTGCTGTCTTGTTCTCTGCCACGGACTGGGATCGCTCGCCAGCTAGGCCCTCTAGAATCAAGTTGGATAGCAACAATTCCGTATGAGAACATATTACCCATCCTCGGAGACAAGGGGCGGAACGACCTCTCGATCTACTTACTTCAGCCCTGGACGGGCGTCGTCGTCTAGGCGTTCCCTGTTGCTCTGATCTCACAGACGCCTAGGACGTAGTCTGGGCCAAGAGCCATAGTTAGTTGCTGTCTCCATTTAGTTGTTCTTTCTCTAAGTTGATACCGGCAAGACCCAGCAAGATAATGATGTCTGCTGATTGGTAGTGAGAGGACTCTTAGTACCCGCAAGAAAAAGGTTCAAAAACCATAATATCGTTTCTTGCTCTCCCTTAGCAGCGGGAAAGGAGTCTATCTATCTGCCTAGCTTTGGTAGAATTCCCCCAACGAAATTCAAAAAACAGAAATGACACGAATCCCTGAGGTGGATAAGTCCGACCACTCAGCAGCAGTGCGGAATGGAGTTTCTCGTCTGGTGGATCTTTGCTATAGTTAATGGGGCAATACATACCAAAAGGTTCAATAAGGAAGGCGCATAATTGTATATAACAAACCCACCTATAGCTGGTCTAACCTGCTGAGATCCAAAAGTGCTTTTCTATCCTTGCCCTAATAGTCCTCGAGTACACAGAGCTATTGCTGATCCTTTGCGAGATCTAGATGAGCACTTTCTGAATGGCTAATATAGGTAAACATCGAGACGGTGCATCTCCGTTAGCTCTGTCAAGGAAGTTC